AGAATGTCAAAACTTTTTACAGCATTGCTCATCATGTTTGAGATTCCTACGTAGTTAGTTTAATCGTCCAACAAAATTATCTCCAGATGTGTACGTGTGAAAAGTCAAACTTCTTTCCGTGTTTTTTTCAAATACTAGTTATGTCATTTTGATTCTCTGAAATCACTTTGAATTAATTAATGCCATTCAATTAACATAATTCAAACGAGTCTTACAGATTCAATGACTGTGTTACAAAGTTCAATGTCAGCTGAGGAGGATTAAGATAAACGCAAGGTAAGTACTTTTCATTCCTGTTTACATTGCAGATTATCGAAGGAGAGAAAGGATGGGAATTCCCGAACGAGCCTCGGAGCGCAAAGAAGTTGAAAGGTCCGCGTGGCGCGTTTATTAACTCCCTCCGCTCTTCTCGTTCCCGGGACGACCGGATCGAACGGACTTACCCGCCTCGAGGAGCTCCAGGTCCAGGTTGCCGCTGCGACTGCGGCTGATGCTGCTGCTGCAGGCGTTGTAGCTGCCGGAGCATTGATGATGAGCAGCGGTCTCCTCCATCGCCCGGGAGGCGCTGCGCTTGAACTGCTCCAGGAAGCTGTCGATCTGGTTCTCGATGCTGGTGGGTGAGCTCGCCATCCTTTCTCCGTGTAGCTGTCAACAATCTGTATTCCCCGTGACCGACACACGCGATTCTCGCGCCGATCTCTTCGTCCTCTCGGTCCTCTCCGTCCGCGACACCCGGTGCCCGAACGACGACGGTGACAGAGAAAGAAAAAGAAGAGTCGGAGAGAGAGAGTGAGAGAGAGAGAGAGAGAGAGACAGGGACAGGTGGATAGACGGATAAAATCGGACAGAATCACGCGACGGGACTACATCGTAGAATCACCGCGAGCCACGCGCCTCACGAGCATTTGCTCGACGTTCCCGTCCTCCGTTGCCGTCGCGATCGTCGTCGGTGATTCCCCCCCGGGCGGGTTAACGGCGCGAATGCTGCCCGGCCCCTAACGCACCTACTCCCGCTATACGCCGCATGTCTGCCGCCCGATCTCCGCAGCCTTCCGCGCTGGTGCGGTGCGGTGGTGCGCACGACGGTGCGGCTCGGAAAACACCGGAACCGAAACGACGCAATCGCACTGCCGCGTCGTTCTCGCGGCAGGTGTCGCGACGTGGACTCGAGAAGCTCTCGGAGCGGAGCTGCGCGACCCGACCCGACTGGCGCGAACTCACCTGACCCCCCGCGAACCCTCGCGACCGGGACGGGTCCTCGACGTGGGTGAGGTAGAAGGGAGGGTCGCGGACCGTCGATCGGTCGGCTAATAATCCCTATTAGCGGGCTCCGGATTGCGCGTTGACGGCGATGCGTAGAAAGAACATGGGAAGAAAATTCACGGCCAGCTAAATCGGTCGAAAGCGAAGAGCTCCGTAATTATATGAAAAATTAAATCCCGATGAAATAAGTTTTTCACATATAATGTAGCTTATACTGTGGTGAATAAAAAATGATAGGGGCTCAATAATGGATAGTATTTCAGTTAGTATTTGATGTATCAAAGGTATCAAACTTGTGTTTACAAGCACTTTTAGTACGTCGTAGCTCAAGAACTATCCATTATTGAAGCCTTAATACAGCAGAAATCTCCCCAGGGATGTCCTAAGGATGTCCAGATTAAGAATTCCCAGGACGTTCCTCGGATGAAGTATGCTGTATGGTTTGTGTTTAATAGAGCGTTAAATCTATGGGTTTTTGGGATTAGAGCTTTAGGGTGCCACAGCTCTCAAAGGAATGAAGAAGTTAGGTAATTTAAACAGCGCATCTATGTCATGGTGCGACTTTATAAATAATTAACGCAAATGTAGGTGACTTGGGACAATAGATAACAACTATATCGTTAATAATACACGCATTTGGCGCGCAAGGCTGCCGCCTTCCTAAAGATATCGTTAATGATATAATTATTTGTCACTGACAAGATACTTATATATTAGTAGTATCTCGTTGATGTATTTGTGCGTAATCTGTGACATCTTTTATTCACGAAATAATAATAGCTACATCCTATATTAAAACTCATCTCAATTCACAGAGAAAAAGATTTCTTTGGATTTAATAAATTTTATTGTATCCAAATAAATTTGTTATTTGAAATGGTCCAAACAATGTTTGAATCAATAAGTACGATTGTTCGAATTTGAAACAATGTATATCTTTGTCTTAAATATATTATTTGTTTGAACAGACAATGTCTATCTTCGACATTCGCGTGATGAAACTGTACGGCACAAATATAATTGATATATCGTAGCACACATAGTTTAATCTTAATTGTTGTTAGACATATAACTTATAAGTCATTGTTTTCGTAATTTCGACCAAAAAATGTAATGGTTGTTCTAAGAAAGCAATTATTTACATGGAACAACCTCTATCAATATATTTTGCCATTTTCAAACAAATAATTTAATATTTGTATTCATTGTAACCAAATTAATAATATTATTTAATTGAAAGATATTACTTCCAATAATAATGTTATTTCTGTCAAAAATAGAGGTTTCTCGAATGAAACAACAAAACTTTTATTCAAACAAACAATATTTCGTACAAGCATATGTTGTTTCAATAAAACAAATTTTAGTTAAATAAATAGGAATACTAAATCCAAAGAAACTTTCTTCTCTATAAACGGGATTTAATTTTCTTATATAATTAATGCGGGATCGTTTTGTAAAATATTCGCTACATATTCGGCAGAATGCCAGTCGAAATATTATAGAATTTCGGCTATTGAATATTGATGGCAAATCGACTGCAGAATGAAACACATCGTTTAAACAATTATGAAAAGAGATTCTATGAGAGAAAAGACAGATTCTCAATTCGCTCGATTTCTGCTGACAATCTGTTGTTAGATTATGTCACTGATGCCGATCTACCGCAATATTTTGTTTGAATCGGCAAGCAAATACTGTTAATATTTCTTGCTAAGCATTACACATAATATCTATGAAACACTAATGAATAACTATTTTTAACTTAATATGATGAGTCTGTGGATGCATATCGCGTGCACATCTAATATTCTTAGCGCTAAACGCGAGCGTATTCAATTTTCTAATTCAATTATCAGTTCGGTGATGTAATAGTTGCTTTGCGACACTGTGGTTGACGACATAATTACACTTGTTTTTTTTTAAACTTCGGAGCCATTGACGTAATGCTACGTTCGTTCACAAGCTAAAGCTGATAAGAAATCCGATGTGTAACCAACGGAGTATTTATTATTTTCTGTTGATATCTATTATTATATCTAGTATATCTATTATTACTATTATATCTATTATTTTTGTTGATATCTTGTACTATTCTGCCTTCAGAAACGTCTGTCTCCGTTTCGCAATAGTTTTATCATTTTATTCTCTATTACTCTAATTTATTTTTTACTATAAAACTTTTATTTTAAAACACTTATTATTATACTGTGAACTTATTATTATTATAACTTATTAATTATTTTTATCCTCCTTTATTCTAGTTTTTTAATTCAATTCTTTTGGTAAAAGTCTGTAAAAGCCTTCAAAAGTCGCGGTAACTGGATAATAACTCCGTTCGTCACAGCTGCACTCTCTACGTTATACTTTCTTAAAATAAAATTGAACTAGATTCTTAAAATAAAATATAATTGAACGATTCTGAACGTTGAAGGGAAGAAGAATGGAAACATAAAGCACGAAAAGTTTAGCTGGAAAGAATTGAAACGTAAAGCCTGTATCAAATTGAAGTTAAGATTGAGATTGAGATTGAAATTAATCCATTAGAAGAAAGAAAACCAATATTAAGTTTGATGAAAATTTAAATAAATTCAAAGCATATTCAAACTTTACTTTGATTAGTCAAATTCAATCTCAATTTCTCTAAAACGAGCATAATATCGTAAAGACTCCATCAGATTATAGATTGAGATTGAAATTGGATTGGAATTATAACCAATCAAAAGAAAGATAACCGATATCAAGTTTAGTGAACTTTATTTTGAGTCAATCTAATTTCAATTTCAATCTCTGAGGGTCAATCGATCATCATTTGTTTTCTATAACTGAACTAGTATACGCTTTTGGAACTTAAAAATAGATATATGTTTGAAATTTGGTGAAAGCGAGAAAGAGAGTAATGTAATTTAAGGGGATGTTGGAGCGACCAAATTATCACATTACAGTCGTATAAAAATCTTCGAATTGACTGAACGGAATAAAAAATCCTTTTACAGGATTAAAGTAGACGTAGAATTAGGAGGTGGTGCAGTGGATTTTATACTACAATCGAAAGAATGTTAAAACATTTCTAACTTTTTTTCGATTTTAGTACAAGGTCTACTTTAATCCTATAAAAGGATTTTTTATTCCGTTCAGTCAATTCGAAGATTTTTATACGACTGTGATGTGATAATTTGGTCACTCCAGCATCCTCTTAATGCAGGAATAAAAACAGACTTCACATAATTTTTTCCCTAAGGTGAAAAGTAAAAATATCTGTACAATGCATACATTGATTACGTTTACACGGCTCGATTTACGGCGAAGTTATAACATCGATGCGATGTTATGAAACTGGCCAATCATAGCTGTTCCTCTGAAGAATGGAATGACTGTGATAGACCAGTTTCCTAACATCGATGTTATACCTTCGGCGTAAATTAATCCGTGTAAACGTAGTCATTATTAAAAAATTCACTTTACACGTTTTCGTGCTAGAAAAAAGGTTACATGATCGATACCCTGATACGGGCTTTACTGGACGCACGGTCGGCATTTAAATCAACTCCGCGGGCGGATGCTCCAGATAATGCTCTCCGAACAGCTGCAATCCCGTAGTCGGTAAAGTGGAGCACTTTCCGCAGCTGACTGGAGGGTAACGCGGGATGGGGATGGGGATGGGGATGGGGGAGGGGGAGTCGAAGGGCGGCGCGCGGAGTGGGGGATCGCAGTATCTCGTGGAGTGGCTGATTCGCTACGAAGTACGACTTGCCGCTTCTCTTCACTGCTCTGCTCTTCACTCGTGTCGTGGCGCCGACGAGGTGCACGCGGACTGTTCCTGTTCCATCGGTGAGTGCCGGCAGGTGGTGGGTGTGTACGGAACGTTTCGGTCTCCCGGTCCAGGCGCGAAGGAAGAAGAAGAAGAATAAACTCTCGAGTTCTCTCACTGCCGCGAGCACCAGTCATGGGCGGTAAGTCCAAGACAAGTTTGCCGGGTCCTGAACGATCGCCACGCGGCTCGATTTGGGCTCGCCGGCCGATAACGTCGCTCGCCGATCTTGACCCGATGACCTTCGCCGTTTCACGAGCGTCTCAATCTCTCTCTTCTCGTGACGCGACCGGATCCGCGAAACGAATCCATCGCGATCGGAACTCGGAACCGTTCAATATACGTGCGACCCAGACGTGTATCGGAGAGATATAACGAGGTAGCCGGTGCGATTGTTTTCGTTTTTTTTCGTCCGAACGAGATCGAGAAGATCGGCTCCGGAAACGATCGCGCCAGAAAGTCGAATCCGCGGCGACAATTCGAGAGTTAAGAAAATTAATGAGTTTTTCGAGCCCAGGGCGATCGATTCATGTAACTTTGAACGTCGGAGCTGTTCACTTTTCATTTCCCGCTTTGCCCCGATTCCGCCGTGAACTTCTTCACTAATCGCAAGCGTGAACTTCTTCACTAATCGCAAGCATGAACTTTCTCACGAATCGACTACGTGATCGATTGAGGAATAATCGCGCGGAGCGTCGAGTTTAAATTTAAAATCTTTCACGTTTCTTAGGGAAGAATTTCACGATCGCTGTAGAGGAAAGCAATCGTGTAACTTTTGGAAATTAGAAAATTAGGAAATTAGGAAAAATGTAGAAGGTGAAAATTTTTACCATTGCCTTCAATGATTGTTACTTTTCACGGTTTCTTAAAGAGGTTCTCCAGTCATTTGACATAATATAGGACTTGATCAAATTTTGAGAATAAATTTGTTGTAAAAATAGAGGCATTCCTTTTTTTTTACTATATGAATTAAAAAATATTTATGTAAAGTTACATTGAGATGCAGACATTAATTGTTCAGTAAATAAACAAGATATTTATTTGTTATAAACTAATTGGTGAATCTCAATGAAACTTTGCATAAGTCATGTTTTTAGTATTTAATATATTTATATAAAAAAATTTAGATTTTTATTATTTAAAAAATTTTTGTTTATAACAATAAAACTAATAACAAATAAAATAAATAATCTATAAAAATGTGTTGCTCAATCAAAACAGAATGAACACAACTTTCACATGTATGTAGTTTGTTTAAAGCGTAAATATTAATATATGTATTTTATGACTGGAGAACCTCCTTAAGGAAAAGTTATATGACAATAATAATAATAATCATAATGTTATATGATGATGATTATTATAAAAATAAAAATAATATAATAATAAGGTTATATGATGATGATGATGATAACGACTTTATCGATATGCAATATAAAATAAAAATTGATCGCTATTCTGAGGCGAAAATTCTAAATACTTATCTTTAAATTTAGAATGAGAACGTTATACTCCAGAAAGGAAGAAGAAAGAAAGTGTTTACTAAACTATAGAAATCAGCACTAACAATAAGTCTAGAAAGAAACGGAGACGGAATTCCTTAGAGTGTAACATATTATATTAAATCAGATAAATTATTAGATATAAGTACATATAAGTATTTCATATATATACATGTATAAATTTCAAATATAAGTCTCACATATAAATTTCTCGTGCTCTTCGTACAAAGTCTTTGAAGTAACGTCTGCAAATAACATGAGTAATCATCATCTGATCTAAAGAGACCAATCCCTCCCAATCCTCCTAAGAGATCATCAACACCTTCACACAGGCTATCACGCTAATTGGTCGCATAATTGGCGAGTAAAAAGGCGAGGCTCGCGAAGAAGCTCTAACTATGTGTTCCACATTTTTCTCTCTCTTTTTTCCTCTCTTTCTCTCTCTCTCTCTCTTTCTTTCTCTTTTTTTCGCTTTCTCTGGACGCTGCATTCCTCGCGCACACGAGAAACAAAATAAGTCAGCGTCGCCGTCGGTGTATCTCTGAAGTCTGACGTTTATTCCTGGCCGACCCTCCAAGAGGGAGAGGAACTCGGCGGCGCCTTGCCAAGCGCGCCTTGCTCTCCCTTATTTTTATTCTTCCGCGGAATCGCCCGCGTACTTTCGGCGAGATTTTTGCCGCTCCGCGCCGTCCTCACTCGCTCGATTGTTCGCGCAGGTGTGTCCGGATGCGCGCCAGAAAGAATCGAAGCGGATACTCGTGACATCGTCGACATGTATATTTAGGATGCGCCGCGTATTTTTTTCTGACGCAGTTTCTTCAGTATTTCACTTCCACGGAAAGGACGGTTTTGCTAAAATATCTAAAAATTCAACTAGATACAGATCTGAAAATAATAGACTATTAAAATAATTAGACTATTGTTGTTAGATTATTGTATAATTATTAGACTATTAAAATAATTATGTAAAATGCTCAAATTGGTTGTTAGAATGTCAAAATTTTTTGCAGCATTGCTCATCATACTTGAGATTTCTATAGATATACATATTACAATTACTTTAATGATCTAACAAAATTATTTTCATACATATTTATGTAGCTAAATTTTAGATATTTCAACAAAATCGTTCTTTTCGTGTCGGATTCCGTCCTCGCGCGTCCCACGTGGATAGAAAAATCTGTAGCACGTACGGAACATGAGATTCTGTCGCATAAAAACTGTATCACACTACGCACTGGAAATTTTAACAACGCGGGTATCGTGGAATGACTTTTTGCGACGCAAACACGTGCTACCAAAAACCAGTCGTCGATGGCCGACTTGAGAAATCTACAACTTAATTAAAAATTAACTGACTCCTGTGAATTACCTTAGTTTTTTCCGGCATTATTTGCGGAAGAAAATCTTCATATTTTAGGAAATAAAAAAAATTATCGATGTATTTATATTCTGCAAAAAGGGAAATTAGTCAATTAAATCTGTATGAGTAAAGTAATATTTTTACATTGTAAATTAAATGGACAAATCAAAATTTTTTGTTTGAATCTATTATATGTAGTTACCTCAAATAGAATTCTTACAATTCTATTGTTTCAGATAACTAGAATTCTGATCGATGTGATCAAAATTTCCTAGTTTGTTCATTTTTAATCGTGATATGTTTCTTATTGCTGATCAGTTAAATTCTAATCTCCAATCCTTGATTTTCAATACATAGGCCTGGTTCTACCAATGTAACTGCATTAACTTTAATCTCGATTCAATTTACTCTTTATATTAAATCTTTAATTTATCTTTATATTTTATCTTTATATTAAATCATAAGATAAAGAGTAAATTTCTAATTCTAAGAATTACCGAGATTAAAGTTACTCTCACTATTGGTGGAACCGGGCCGTAATGTAGTACGGACTTAATGACCGATCGTTCGAATAATCTCGTATCAAAACTTTTCGATTTTATCTCATAGAAGATACGAGCCTCGATTGTTCTCACTACGAGACTAATGAGCACGTCGCATCGGTTTCGAGTGACTCGCGATGGCGTATCAATTACGGCACATGTAATTGAGAGTTATGCGATAAAAGAATGACGCTTATATATCGCCACCGGCTATACCTTGATAAATATTTATTTTCCATATAAAAGATTATTAACATCTAGGAATATTATTTATGATGAATCATCAAACCATTATCGTAATACCGAATATGATTAAAACAGAATAATATTTGCAGAATAATATCCAATGCAAGAAATAATTCGAAACAAAGTAGTCCAATATTTATTTTCCTCACTTATTTTGATGTTTTCAAAATTATTAATTTTATCCGGAATATAATCATAGAGATCTACTTAAAATCATGCGTTGTCTAAAAAGAATTTGACTTATTGATTGAAAAGTTATTTTAAATAAACTAGATATCGATTTAGATGATAATTTTTCCTACTTTAAAATTAGACAGAAGAATTTTATTCTAGCGCAAGGTTTTCGTTTCGCCATATGATTTCTTTCTATTTTAAATTTACCTAATTTATCATCGATCGAGTTTCATTTCTTTATTTCCATTTCTTAATATTTATAAATCGTCCTTTGAAAAATGCAAATGAAAAAAAGAAATTTTATTACCTTCAGCATTACAAGCCAAGAGGAGGACTTAACACTTGACAAGCAAGAAAGTGCAAATAATTATCTTTAGATAATCGTATACGCTGCAAATAAATAGTATATTTAAGAAAAAATTGACATGCGAGATGTTTTGTGCAAGTCAACTAATTGTCAAGTTCATTGCACCTTTATCGACAACTGACGATACTATTTTTATGTGATCTCAATCTTGACCTCGTCTGCTTTGGATTCGAGCTCTCAGCAGTAAGAGTTTGGGGCACGTGTGTTCTTCGTAATGCTCTCGTCGCAAAAATAGACAATGTGCGCAAGAAAGTAGCGATTAGCATCTAAATTAAAAGAAAAAGAAAACGTACACTGAAAAAAAGATTGGCTGCTACAGCAAATTAGATGTTAAAATATGGCATAGCATTTTTAATTGGCTGCAGTAGCTAATTATTGGTTGCGTTAACCTATCTGCAATGTCAATATAGGATTTCGATAGGCTAACACAATCAAAAATTGACCGCTGCAACCAATTAAAAATGTTATGCCATATTTTAACATCTAATTTGCTGCAGCAGCCAATCTTTTTTTTCAGTGTATGATTAGCATTCAAAAAGAAAGAGGGAGAATCCAGATCAACCAGGCTTTTAATTTACCATGTAAAAATGTTATTTCAGTTATTGGTTTTATTATAAATTATGGCTAATTTCTTCCTTATAGAATATAAATACGTGGATAATTTTGGATTTGCTTCTTTTGTTTCTCAAACGTGAAGATTTTAATTTCTGCAGGAATGCTGGAAAAAAAAAATTAAAAATATTTAATTTAAGATTATCAACTTAAAAATTATGATTAAAATTTGCAGATTCTAAGATTGTATCGACGACGTATTGATTATCGATGACCGGTTTTGCTAGCACGTGTGTTGCAGAAAGTAGTTCGAGGATATCCACATTATCCATGTTGCTGTGACTTGCGGTCGCGAATCTTATAAGGAAGTAGCCAGGTTTCGACGCTCAAGTGCTT